TTACAGGCAGAACTTAAAAGGGACAGACCGGTAACAAGGACAGTACAGCGATGGAGTGACGAGTCAGATTCAGCACTGCAGGATTGTTTTGCATCTACGGATTGGAGTGTGATTGAGGACAATAACATCAACACACACGGATACGGTCATCTGCTACATTGGCAAATGCATCGATGACGTTGTACCGAAGGTTTCTGTACGAACATTCCCGAATCAAAAGCCCTGGATAAACGACGAGGTGCGTGGCAAACTGAAAGCGAGCACTATCGCGATTTGGAGGAGTACAGGAAATCTAGGTATGAACTCCGGAGAGCAATCAGCAGCGCAAAGAGACAGTACAAAGAGAAGGTGGAGTCTGACTTCAGAGAGCATCCTGACCTTCTACAGGTGCTCCATAGAGAGGATCCTGACCTTCTACAGGTGCACCATAGAGAGCATCCTGACCTTCTACAGGTGCACCATAGAGAGCATCCTGACCTCATACAGGTGCACCATAGAGAGCATCCTGACCTTCGACAGGTGCACCATAGAGAGGATCCTGACCTTCTACAGGTGCACCATAGAGAGGTTCCCGACTATCGGCTGCTGCACCGCCCTCAGCCCTAAGTCTCTACAGAGGGTGGTGAAAACTGCACAGCACATCCCCAGGACGGAGCTGCCATCCGTATAGGACCTCCACACCCAGCGGCTCAGGAAGAAATCCCTCAGGATTATATTATTATTCATATTTTATTACAATATGCAGTATTTTATTCCACTGTAGAGCATTACATTTTACATTTTATTTTATCATACTATTTTACATGTTTATAGTTGACTTCTTTCTTCTTATGTCTGATGTATATTTATGTTGCATTGTCGGAAGAGCCTGAGACTTAAGATCTTCATTGCCAAAACTACACTGTACAGTAGCTGTCGTGCATAGGACAATAAAGCCTTAAAAGTCTTGAAACATTTTTCAAATAAACTGCATTCCTCCAAGTTTATTGCCAAAAACCTACATTTAACAAAACTATATTGAACATAAAAATAACATTATAGTTGATCTTCGCACAGTATTGACTGAATAGAGCTTAAACGCAGCATAGTGCAACTCTACAGAACCACTGTGAACCAGGAGCTTACACCCTGGAGGTTTACTGGGAACAACGGTATCTGCATGCTGTAGAGAATATTGAGTTTTCATAATTCTGGCTTCAACTTACCAAAGTATTGGTTCTCATAAACTCCCTACTACAATAACGTTTAATGTTCACAAGTAGAGAACTTCTATCATGTTTGCGTTTGAACTGAAATGTTGCATTCTGTAACTAATAAATACAATAAAAAGATTAACGACTGTTCATGTATTCATTCATCACTTCTTAGCAGACCAAACCCCACAAAGTCACTGCAACTGGAAATAGTTACAGCAAGGAACTGTATCTTTGTTTTTCTGTTTGGAATAGACAAAGTTATAAAATAATAATTAATGAACTTTGGGCCCACTGGTAGTTTTGAAATATTGACAGAACAAAGCCAAATATGTCCCCCTTATTCCAGCTAATCGTCTCCTGGCTTAATCTCTAGACAAATGAGAGGGGTCTCTAACCTCTCATGTTTCCCTCAGCACGAAAGTTCATTTCTCCAAATATCAAACTTTTCTTTTACCTCTGACACGTCTTCTGTCTCCCCTCATGGACCACAAGGCTTTCTCTTAGCACGCTGCTAACTCTTGGCCCCGCCGCATCACCCTGCCTGACCCTGAGCTCAGAACATGCAGACCCTGCCACGCCCGCAGGCTAATTCAGGATGAGTCAATAAAGTGCTCAGAGACACACAGCGAATACACTTTCACTGACAACAACAACAACGCAGGGTCGTATTTCCATCCACCATCCTGCCTGCTGTTGTTGTGATGGTGACAGAGGACACACACTCCCACACACACACCCACCCACATGCACATGCACACACACACACACACACAAACACAAACAGACACACGCTCCCAGATTAAGACATAGAGTAGAAACTGGGCCAGAGAATGTGTTCCTGTAGTACCTCCTGTCTGTTTCTAAGTTCCTCTCTCTGAAATAAACACAGACAGACACATACTTGCATGTTGGAATGTGTCTGTCCCATTCCAGAAGTCTCAGACTGTCTACAAAAGTCCACTAGGCGAAGGGAGCGGGGCTGACCGCACGGAATAGAAAAGTGTGTACTTCTATATTTGTGGGATCCAGTTTTAGTTTTATGTGCTGAAACAGATTACATGTTTGGAAAGTGAGGACATTTAGTCCAGTCCAAAGAGTTGATGGTTAAGATTTAGTTTGAGGGTTAAATGTAGGTTTTAGTTTTTCAAGAATACATGAATAAAGTACCTACTCCATACCGTGAAGTTAATTAGATCTTTAATTAGATCTTTAATTAGATCTTTAATCAGATGAATAGTTCCCTCTGCTGAGGGGAAGCACTGTCCTATCATTTCATCTTTATGATTCTATTCCCAAAATGCACTGTCCATGTGTCTGCTTGGAAGCGCGTGCATATAGTTTTCAGACTACAGTATGCACAATCATGTAAAAATGACTTTATTTTGAGAAAAAGTTGATGCAAATGCACCGTAAAACGTATGAAAGAGTGTTTTTTTTAAACACTCTTGTGTCATGAGAGTAATGCGAACATGAGCTGGACTAATTTGGGTACTTCAACACTTTCCTCATAGTGGCCGAACAGCTTCCTGCACTGCTGCAGTTGTCAGTGTCATGTGGTTTACACTTCACCTCAGCAGGTGCTCTCTATGTTAAAGTACCATGACATCACACTTTGCCCTTAAACTGTCATTTTAAATGAATATGTTTGTAACTGACCTCCGATAGCTTCACACCTCGAAGTCATCTCCCAAAGCACCAGGGCCATGGAGTAAATGTCCGTCTGTTTGAAGGACTCCATGTTCTCCAGATTCAGTCGGGCCTCCAGCACCTCCGGAGCCATGTAGCGTGCCGTGCCCACCTGCAGAACAGATATGTTAACACACAAGTACACACACAAACACTGAGCATAGCATACACTTACTGTCATGAGGTAGAAAGATAAGAACATAAAAAACAGCTGTATCAAACAAGCCCCCAGGACTTTCAATCATTAAGGCCTAAAAGTTATAAGATGTGCGAAAGGCCGATTCCAGAGTTATTTTCCCTCTCCATTCATTTGATTGAGCTGAGAGTGGCTTTAACGGGTATTTTTGTTCTGGAGAGTCAGGCCATTTTGGCTTAATGCGCCATTGAGCAACTTTCTTAGAAATGACAGGGCCCCGCCTTCAACGCTGTATCCAGTTCCCTTTATTATACAGCCATGGCCCACACATTGACCACTATACAGTCTGGAGGGGAGAGATGTTAACAAGTCGCAGGCTTTGAATCATTTGCTGTTATTCTGATCTAGAAGACTGCAGGTAGAACTTCAATGTCTTGCTCAAATACAAAAGAGCAAACTAAATCAGTGGATAACACATGTTGAATGATAAAAAGCGTGTTAAGTCATATTATAAAGGAATAAAATCAGACCTGTCCACTGTTGGCGAGGTCATCCACAGTCAGACAGCTGTCCAAACGGAGAGCCAGCCCGAAGTCACTGAGGCACAGCGTCAGGTCGTTCTTCACCAGGATGTTGGAGCTCTTCAGGTCCCGATGCACTATGGGCACCTTTAGGCACAAAAGCAGTATGGGTGTCAAAAGAACCAATTAAATAAAACATTTACATATAATGACATTTCATTATGTTCATTACACTAGACAATAGTGTCAGTGTTTGTTTAATGACGATCTTTACAGCATGAACTTGGATAGGTGCTTTTCTTTCTGTAGCTATTTGACATGACGATGGTGATTATGGTTGGTATTTCTAAGCTCTGATATGCTGTCTGTCAACAGGATATATTCACTCAGTCGTACCTTAGGCCGTCCACAGAGCAGGCGGTCACTGTGGAGGTGGGCCACCCCCTGGGACAGAGACATGCCCAGCACCTGCAGCTCCTCCCAGCTGATCACATGACGCGTCAGGTGCTCCTGGAGGGCACAGGGAACATGGGATGGTTAAAACTGATTCATTATGAAACCAGTGATGAAAAGTAACTAAGTACTTTACTCAAGTATTGACATTTTGGTCATTTAGGGAGTATTTCCATTAAATGCTACTTAATACTTCTACTCTACTACATCTTAGAGGAAAAATGTTACTTTTGAATACATTACATTTTGTTAACACTTATAGTTACTTGTTACCTTGTACATGATCCATGCTGCATAATGAGTACTTTTACTTTTCATACTTTTACTACACTTAGTTGATAATACTTCTGTGCTTTTTATTATCCTGAAATGGGCCATTGTGCAGAATGAGTACTACACTTTGATGCTAATACTTTGGTACTTTTACTTTAGTAACATTTTAAAATCAGGTATTTTGCAAATAATGAAGTACTTAAAAAATAGTATTTGTACTTTTACAGATCCGAGTACTTATTCCTTAAACTTAGGAATGAAAATAAAAAATTCGGTAGGAATTGCAGTTTACCTGTGGTGGAATTTAACTTAGTAATTAACTTAAGTACTGTATTTAAGTACACATTTAAAATACCTGTACTTTATTTTTTATTTCTACGTCTCAGAGGGATATTTTTATCTGACAGCTTGGATTATTAGTCACTTACCAATTTAGATTTTGCACACAGAACATATGGATGTGTTGGAGTACAGCAGAGTTTAAATACTTCCTCGCACTAATGTATGGTTTCCTGTCACTATCAGCCTCACCTGTAGATTTCCTCTGTGGTGGAAGGCCGTGATGATCCAGTACTGTTTCTCCACCTTCCTCTCCTCAGCTGTCAGGAAATGGAGGACATTTTCGTGTCGCAGGTCTGTGTTGGAGAAAATGTCCTTCTCGTTCTTCCAGGAGGCGTATTCCTCGTAGGGGAAGATCTTCACAGCGACTGTTTCAAACTGATCTGAGGTGCTCTGCTTCAGCTTGGCCTTGTACACCTGGGCGAAGCGACCCTTCCCCACCTGGGACAAGATCAAATGTTAGGATTTTAGAGAGAATTTCAGTTAACTTGGAAATAACAGAATAACTGAAGTACAAATAGTTCTGTACCAGCAGTTCCAGCTCTATAGGCAGCGGCTCTGTGTTGTGGTTGAGGCTGTTGGCGTGCGTGGAGCTGCTGTCCGATCCGTCGTCATCCATCATGATGGCGCAGGCGTCGCAGTCCAGCCCCGCAGCTTTGGGCTTGCGCTTCTTAATGTTGCTCTCCCATTCTCGGATCCCGCGCTGCCGATAGGCTCGGTACCAGTGGAACATTCCCACAACCACAATCCCCATCACCACCAGAGGCACCAGGCTCACCAGCAGAACCGACACCAGGGGGTCGTCTGGGGTTGGATCCAAAACTGTAAAAGGCAGAAGGCAGAAGATGACAATAAAATACATGGAGAGTATGAAGGGACTCATAAGTGAAACCAAAAATTGGAAAGGTCAAACATTTGAGAAATCAATGAGATAATTCATTAGGACTGATGGATTAACGCATACACGATGCACAAGATTGACTGAGATAGGAGGGTAAAACCAACAGCTTGTATCTCAATCTTTATTTCTTTATTTATATTTTTGCCATTGAGGTCTTTGAACTGCCAGTAAGTGGACAATGCAAAGTTAAAGAACAACACTCAAAGTCATTTTAGTTAGGACAGTTTGAAAACTGTTAATGCAGACCCAGTTCTTCAAGTAACAGCTTCAATTTGCCTTTCAAATTGAGAGAGAACTAATTAGTGGCCTAGCATTAGCCTCACTTTGGTTGGTTAGGGTTTACCACAGAATTTAGGTTTGGAATATTAGCTTTACATAACTACTTTACATAACTGAAAAGGCGTGGCTATGGCTACAGGTAAACCTGTTATATGTGTAGTACACATTACCTATACTGTATAGCTGTTCAGTTTCAGTCCATTTGTGGAATCACCTTCTGATGATGAAAGTTAGTTTGAACTAGAAAAACCCTGTCCATGCGCTTGATGCCAGCCCCAATGTTATTATTGCCAGCACTAAGTATTGATAGCAGTAGCTGTTTTACTTATTTTATTTTTGAAATAAAGGCCTCATTCTGCGCTTCCTTTTTGGATACAGTGACTTTCTGGGTCTTTTTTTGTTTTGTGTTGCTACACACATGCACACACACACACACACACACACACCGTAGATCAACGGTGTGCGTTCTTACAACACAGCCAGACAAACTCAGGTGGTTTGAATTAAGAAAAAAGTGTAATTTTTCCACCATCCCATAAACAACTACTGTCAGATTTCATGTTGCACGCAGGGCAAGCAGAGTTCAACACAGCCGCAGTGTATGATGAGGACTTGGCTAAGTTGCAGACATGCAGCCTTTCACAAGCAGCTTTTCATGGAGCAGCTCACTGTGACTGCCCCTTCGTATCCATTCAAACATTCAAAACTGATCAGCTGTCAGACAATGTCATGTTTTATAGATCTTACAGTTTTGATTAAGTATTTTGTTGAGTTCTACATCTGTGACAAATATGTTCCATGTACACTGACTGCCTGAAAATGAAAACCATTTCTTGATTTGCCAGTTGTTTCCATCACAATTAAAATAGTATAAAGTACAAACAGAGTCTGGATTCCCTTAATGCCATGTTTGATCCAGCACTCATAAAACCTTTTTGGATACACCCTTCCTCTTCGCCTCCCAAAACAAAATTCCCCATTTCCATTTCCAGAGACTTAACTAAAAGGGAATGTGGTGATGTAGGCCCAGGTCTTTGAAGGACACACCTAATTGGGTTGCTGTATGCACCATGCAGAATACTGCATTCTCCTCCCAACACTCATACTGTCAGTCCAACACAAGCAAGCCCACCACAGTCATTCTTGAGGCTTGTTCAATGAAAACAACATGTTCTCTGCTCCAAGAAGTCACACATCACAGGCTTTCCAACAAAACAACAAGTTAAATGTATTATTACTGACTTGTACTGTTTCCTTCAGTCTGTCTCTCAGTCTGTCTCTCAATGATTAAAAAAGTAAAAAGATGTTTTATACAAAAACATCATCATTTTAAGACGATCAGTGGTGTTGACCTATTATGTAAAATATGTGAACCCCTCTTATGCTCATTCAAAGAAATATTTATAAATATATATTTTACTATATTTTTTATTTGGCATCCAGTAGCAGGTCGAGACCAATTTTACTGGGGGGGGGTCGAGGGGTGGGGGGCTGTGCTTGGGCCAGTTATTTTAGGAGAGGGGTACAATAAATACCGGACAAATGAGAAAGACAGTGTTCATGACTTTAAAAATGTAAGCTCAGTATGAAGTCATAGCACGCAAAAAAATCAAGAACTCTTAAATCAGACTTTAGTTCCACCTGGAGTAAATTGACAAGCTACCCTGTAGT